TAACACTGTAAAAGTGTTTGGTTTAGTTGTATTTAATACATACATAGAGTACATGAGTCACAGACAGGAATTTGAGAAGGCGCCAGCTTGGTCGGCCTGAGTTTCACACTTCTAAGAGTTAATGACCCCAAGTGACCTGAGGTCAGATCATGCGAATTTCACCTTACTTCTACTAATCTTATAATTGGAGCCTGGTAGCCTTCAAACATGCCGACGTTTAAGGAGTGGCTTGGTAGAGTGCCGGAGGCTATCTACTTGTGGGCGGAGTTAGTTACTAGGTTCCCCAATATATACTCGGAGAGCGATCGATTCGAGAGGATTAAGAGAACAACAGCAGCCAGCAGAGGAGAGGAGACGGCCCTAGCAGGGAGGCTGTCGGCCAGCAGGGCGAGACAGTCTCTGTCCACTACAGACCCCCCCCCCCCCCCTCTATCCAGCTATAGGCAGACACTTGGTGAGTTGAACATTAAGGTGACTTGGTCGTGTTTTACAAGTGTTGTGTGATGATCAGGGGCAGTCAGTTGTAGTGTTCTCAGATTCTTGGAGGATGACTCACTTTACATATATAGATCTTGAACATTGCTTAAATTATGATACTTAGTATGTGAAATATAATTATGAATTTATTATTTAAATTGTCTTTGTTCCCTAGAGCTTTGAGTTGAGGTGAGAAAGCCTCTGTGGTTACTGGATTCATGATATTAATGAGTACATGTTTGGAGTTGATACATGGTGATAACATCTTTTGAGAATATTTTGATACAGACAAGTTCCATTCCTTGTCTTGTATGTAATGGTCTAGAATGGATGGTGGCAGCATTTCGTCTTCTACTATCTACTCTTCTACTATCTACTCTTCTACTCCTACCTACCTACTTCTCTCCCTCCACCCCTCTCTAAACTCTCACTTTCAACTAATGACCCTCCTCGCTCCTCCCACCTCCCTACCTCTCACCCCAAACCCTCACTAATTACTTCACTATTCATTTCTTTCCTCTCGTTTTCTCTTATACGTTTGTGGCAGTGAGAAATGTATTCTAGAGTTCTCTCTAGAGTTTCGGGTAGCTGATCAAGTTACGGCGCCTTGTAGTCTTAGCACCTAGGTTGTCAAATACCTAGGTTACAAGGTGTTGAACGTGAGAGGCTGCCGTAGGAACTCTGGGAGTGCTCTAGAATAGTTAGCTAACTGGGGACGGGATAACGGACTAGAGAGAGCTGTTTCCCCCGGCCTCGTTAGCTAACTGGGGGGTGGAATAATGGACAAGATAGAGCTATTTCCCTCACCCCCCGTTACATTGTTTTGAATGACCTCAAGTCTCTGTAGGCGCAGCCGATGCATATGCCTGGCAACAATAGTCTAATTAGTTGCGAATGTATATTGTATAGAAACGGAGCAAGATTTTATGGTGTGCTCCCCCAGGTGAGGGCTTTAAGTGAGGGCTTAAGTATGGCGAGTCATGGTTGTATCGTCTGTTTAAGATGTTGAATGTGTGCTTTCCAGGTAAGTAATGGCGAGTCGAAGCGCATGCCAAGGTATTTATGCTCTGGTACGTGTTGGATGGGAGTGTTGTGTGTTGTGAGGCTGGGTAAATAAACAAGTCTTTTTTTAGTGAAAATTTAATAACAGGTTTTAGTAGTACTAACTTGAAGGCCCCATTGTTGTGTCCAATCTATGAGGTGGTCAGGTGTTGTTTGCATTGTTGAGACTGTATTAGGTAGGGCATTGTCTGAATAATACAATGCTAAGTCGTCAGCATATGCTGAGACGTGAACAGGATGGGTGTTAGGCAAATCTGCTAAGAATGCAGCAAAAAGGGTTGGGCTTAGTATGGAGCCTTGCGGGACACCCGTTTGTATTGGAATGCTATTTGAAAACTCGCCTTGTATATAGACTTTAGAGGTCCTGTTCGTAAGATAGGACTGAACCATAGAAGTAATCTTCCCCGTAAGCCTAAACGTGCAAGCTTTGCCAAGAGGCAAGTATGAGAAATGCTATCAAAAGCTCCTTTAAGGTCTAGATAGAGAACAATACAAAATTTACTGCTTCTAAGAGAGGTGCAGAGTTCATGTTCAAGGCAGAGTATTTAATCAAGTGTGGAGCATTGCGGTCAAAGTCCAGCTTGAAGTGACGGTAAAATATTAATATAAGGTACCATTGGAGGCGAGTATGTACTAGCCTTTCCAAGACTTTACGGAGGCATGATAGTAAGGAGATAGGTCTGTATGACGCAGCTTGGGATGGGTCTTTTCCTGGTTTAAGGAACGGAAGAATAATACTGGTCTACCATTGTGAAGGAATATTTCCGTGAGTCCAGCATAGGTTGTAATAATTTAGAAGAGTGCTATGTGCAGTCGATAGAAGATATTTGATAAGTTCATATGGAATTCCATCCTCTCCAGGTGCCTTGCCAAGAGGTAGGTGGTTTAAGGCTAATTGTAGGTGCACATGTTATCGACGCCGAGCATGGGCAGCGGTATGGCACGGTCAATTTCTTGTCTGAGGGAGAGTTCTTGGGCATGAAGGAAGGGTGTTGAGAGGATAACTTTAAGGCATTCAGCAAGAACATTTGCACGCTCCTGAGGCGTTTGACAGTGAACTATTGATCATCTTGGGAAACGAAGGAAATGTTGAGCGACCTTTAATGTTGTTAAATGTAGCTTAGACTTTTGAATGAGGCGTGGTGGATGTGAGGCTATCACAAAATTTTGCCCATGATTCTCGCTTTGCTGACAGTGTGTTGTTTTTTTTTGGCTGCTACCATGGCCTGCCGGAGATTGCCCCAGTTCTGTAGGGAGGGTTGACGTCTTTGTTTTTTGTATGGCTCGTCGGCGTAAAGTGACTGTTCGTGCACATTCCGGGGTCCACCACGGTTTAAGTGGTTTGTTGGGCCTATGTCCTGAGGTTTTCTTGAACATTTGGGTGGCTGCACAATTTATAGCCGAGGTGATTGTGGACAGTCGTGTGTTAGCGTCTACATCGTCTGTATCTGGGAGACGGACAACATCAGCCCATTTTTTCTTATCTAGTTTCTTAATGTTCCACTTAGGGAGCGTTAGGGGTGTGGGGGAGGGTTGGTGGCTGAAAGTTAGTAAATTTTATAATGAGGGGTTTGTGGTCACTACCAATATCTGGTCCAGTATGTAAACTGTAGTTCATGTTGAAAGTGTGCAGAGCCAAAGCAGATGTCAAGTGAGGCTTCATAATTGGTTCTGTAGTTAAAGTAGGTTGCAAGGTAGGGCGGCGAAAGAAGAATATATGGTGCAGTGTCTAAGTAGTTGTACAGATCGGTGCCTGCAGTATTTTGGGTGCCTCTACTCCATGTGGGGTGGTTAGCATTGAGATCACCTGTAACAATGATCAGCTGTCGTAATTGGTTAAGATAGAATTCCAGTTCATTTAAGTTTATTGTGCCACCAGGGTTGTATATACCCAGAAAGAATATGTGTGTACCATTGTAGGGTATTAGGCATGCTAAAATTTCTAGTTTACCGTTCACGAAATACATAAATGTTACAGGTTTACATGTCATATTACTTCGTGCTAAGAGGGAAATACCACCCCGCCATAGGGTTGGGTCTGTCCAGTCTCTGCATCTGAAAGTTTTTAAATATAAGATTTTGTTTGGGAGTGAGCCAGGATTCGGTTAAGAAAGCTAAATCCGGTTTGGATTAGTAAAGGATTTCTTTAATTTCTGTGAGGGATGTTTTAATGCTTTTGCGTTCCAAGGTTAGGGGAGCCATTTAGGATGCTTGGGTTATGGATGCGTCTGTTTTCCTTGGAATGCCAATAGTAGTACGTGTTGGATACCTAGATGTGGAGGGGGGCTCCCTGGTCTACTGACCCACCTTGTCCACACAGACCAGGCCCACTCCTCCCTGGTCTACTGACCCACCATTGTGTCCACACAGACCAGGCCCACTCCTCTCTGGTCTACTGACCCACCACTGTGTCCACACAGACCAGGCCCACTCCTCCCTGGTCTACTGACCCACCATTGTGTCCACACAGACCAGGCCCACTCCTCCCTGGTCTACTGACCCACCATTGTGTCCACACAGACCAGGCCCACTCCTCTCTGGTCTACTGACCCACCACTGTGTCCACACAGACCAGGCCCACTCCTCCCTGGTCTACTGACCCACCTTGTCCACACAGACCAGGCCCACTCCTCCCTGGTCTACTGACCCACCATTGTGTCCACACAGACCAGGCCCACTTCTCCCTGGTCTACTGACCCACCATTGTGTCCACACAGACCAGGCCCACTCCTCCCTGGTCTACTGACCCACCATTGTGTCCACACAGACCAGGCCCACTCCTCTCTGGTCTACTGACCCACCACTGTGTCCACACAGACCAGGCCCACTCCTCTCTGGTCTACTGACCCACCATTGTGTCCACACAGACCAGACCCACTCCTCCCTGGTCTACTGACCCACCTTGTCCACACAGACCAGGCCCACTCCTCTCTGGTCTACTGACCCACCATTGTGTCCACACAGACCAGGCCCTCTCCTCCCTGGTCTACTGACCCACCACTGTGTCCATACAGACCAGGCCCACTCCTCCCTGGTCTACTGACCCACCACTGTGTCCACACAGACCAGGCCCACTCCTCCCTGGTCTACTGACCCACCATTGTGTCCACACAGACCAGGCCCACTCCTCCCTGGTCTACTGACCCACCACTATGTCCACACAGACCAGGCCCACTCCTCCCTGGTCTACTGACCCACCATTGTGTCCACACAGACCAGGCCCACTCCTCCCTGGTCTACTGACCCACCACTGAGTCCACACAGACCAGGCCCACTCCTCCCTGGTCTACTGACCCACCACTGTGTCCACACAGACCAGGCCCACTCCTTCCTGGTCTACTGACCCACCATTGTGTCCACACAGACCAGGCCCACTCCTCCCTGGTCTACTGACCCACCATTGTGTCCACACAGACCAGACCCACTCCTCCCTGGTCTACTGACCCACCTTGTCCACACAGACCAGGCCCACTCGTCCGTGGAGCGAGCAGGGATGCTGGCGGGGGTGAAGCTGCACCAGGTGACCTCAGATGACAGCTTCGCCATGCGCGGCGCAGCTCTACGAGAAGCAATTGTCAAGGATAAACAGCTCGGACTCATTCCGTTTTTCGTGAGTATTTTCATATTCCATTTTCCTTGATTGCGTTTTTTATATATATATATATGTTGTATAGTTTAGCTGGTGAGGTGTTGTTTATTAAAGTGGTCTCTGACACTGCAGACGATAAGAGTACATAGGTATATGTGTATAAGAGATGACTTTGCCATCTTGTCAGCTGGAAACACTGACAATTGTCGCTGACGTTGATAGAAATGCTGTCAGCACAGATGAGGTCAAACAATACAAGGCGTTTTTCCCATCATATATTTATTTACAAGAAGGAACATTGGGTTGGGAAAGAACACACATTGGTTATCGAGTGTTACATTCCTGCGAAGACAGACATTAAGACACGTAGCATCTCGGGGCAGATCCATAAGCTAATAATGAATGTAATAACAGGTACAGTGTAATAGAACTAGAACTCATTGAAATATCTACGTTACAAATTGACTGAATAGCTTATACTGATGAAGTTTCATGTTGCAGCTTACACTGCCTGTTGCAGCTTATACTGCCTATTGCAGCTAACACTGCCTGTTGCAGCTAACACTGTCTGTTGCAGCTAACACTGCCTGTTGCAGCTTACACTGCCTGTTGCAGCTTATACTGCCTATTGCAGCTAACACTGCCTGTTGCAGCTAACACTGTCTGTTGCAGCTAACACTGCCTGTTGCAGCTAACACTGCCTGTTGCAGCTAACACTGCCTGTTGCAGCTTACACTGCCTGTTGTAGCTTACACTGCCTGTTGTAGCTTACACTGCCTGTTGCAGCTAACACTGCCTTTTGCAGCTTATACTGCCTGTTGCAGCTAACACTGCCTGTTGCAGCTTATACTGCCTGTTGAAGCTTATACTGCCTGTTGCAGCTTACACTTCCTGTTCCAGCTAACACTGCCTGTTGCAGCTTATACTGCCTGTTGCAGCTTACACTTCCTGTTGTAGCTTACACTGCCTGTTGCAGCTAACACTGCCTGTTGCAGCTTACACTTCCTGTTGCAGCTAACACTGCATGTTGCAGCTTACACTTCCTGTTGCAGCTAACACTGCATGTTGCAGCTAACACTGCCTGTTGCAGCTTACACTGCCTGTTGCAGCTTACACTTCCTGTTGCAGCTAACACTGCCTGTTACAGCTTACACTTCCTGTTGCAGCTAACACTGCCTGTTGCAGCTTACACTGCCTGTTGCAGCTTACACTTCCTGTTGCAGCTAACACTGCCTGTTGCAGCTTACACTTCCTGTTGCAGCTTACACTTCCTGTTGCAGCTAACACTGCCTGTTGCAGCTTACACTGCCTGTTGCAGCTTACACTTCCTGTTGCAGCTAACACTGCCTGTTGCAGCTTACACTTCCTGTTGCAGCTAACACTGCATGTTGCAGCTAACACTTCCTGTTGCAGCTAACACTGCCTGTTGCAGCTTACACTTCCTGTTGCAGCTAACACTGCATGTTGCAGCTTACACTGCATGTTGCAGCTAACACTGCATGTTGCAGCTAACACTGCATGTTGCAGCTTACACTGCAACATGCAGTGTAAGCGGCTCATATTCAGTATCACCCACAGTTAATAAAACTCTAGGAAATCAAACTTCCAAGGCAGATAAGACAAAAGGAGCTTCAAGTGCACCAAGATGTTCATTCTATTAGGAGGCACATACCATATGTCGAGGCACAGTCTATGTAGACCGTGCCAGTCGAGTCAGTCGACTGAAATATCTGAACAGATGCATCCGTTGTCTGCAGAAGCACGATTCGAATGAATGGAACGCTCAATTGCACTTGCCAGTATTGTCATGAAAGTGTGCATCACACAGCACTCTGTGGTGACATCAACACTCAGTCCAGATCACAGACAACCAATAATCAACCTGCATCTCAGGCAATGCCAAAAAAGATGATAATACCTCATCAGCTGTACAATTCTGGAAGATACAGAGTGATGTTAATGCGTTAGTAGCAAAGACTATTACCACATCTACCTTACCCACAGCACAGCTGAACTTAAGCAATCTAGGAGCTTGCACTCAAACAAGAGGCTTGTTTGATCAAGGATCACAGAGAACCTTTATCAGTAAAAATGTGGCAGATTTACAACTTAAATCTTCAAATCAAGTATCTATATCCATATCAGGTTTCTTGACCAAATCAGGTCTTAAAACCTATCATGAGGTAAAGCCTGTCTAGGTACGTTCCAAAAGACAGTCAACGCTATCATGGTGGAGAAAGTTCCTACTGACCTACAAGTGACCGGTCTGGAAGCCACCACTAAAATCCTAACAGAAAAAGGAATCCAATTAACAGATCCTCTGATTCCAACCACATAGGGGATATTGGAATGCTGATAGGAGCAGACTACTATCACCAATTCATTTTGGGATCAGAGAAATCAACGCGTATGAATTTACTCAAATCAGCAGGAGGCTTATTGATGTCAGGACGTATACGAGTTCTAGAACCTTCAACTCCTGATAAATCCCACCGTACAGAAACTGTAATTCTAACATGATTGGGCAAAGAACAGTCACCAGTTAATATCCCCCACATTATTGATGACGGATTATAATCTGTACATAAATTGTGGGAACTTGATGCAACAGGAATAATTCCTGAACAACCAGGTCCTGATGATGTCTGTACATATGATCAGTACTTAGAAACTGTACAGTATCATGATGGGCAATATTGGGTAAAGTTACCTTGGAAACTAATCCATAAGACCTTACCAGCCAACTATAATGTGGCTTATAGTCAATGTAAATCACTGTTAGCAAAGCTAAGAAAAAGGCCTAAGCATTATAACTCTACCATGAGATTATTGTTCAACAGTTACAGAATAAATTCATTGAAATCGTAAAACACGACAATAAGCAAACAGGCCATTTTTTACCTCATATGGCTGTGATGAGAAAATAAAAAACAACTCCTTTATGGATAGTTTTTAATTGTAGCTCTAAATCTGGACCCCAAACAACCGGTCTAAATGATTGCTTGCAAACAGGTCCAAGTCTAACTCAGAAATTGTATGACATGCTGTTGAGGTTTAGACTTAACAATTATGCATATACAATAGACATAGTAAGGTTTTTCTGAGAGTTGGTTTACAGGAAGACGATAGCGACTTCACTAAGTTTCTATAGGTAGAGAACCCAGACGATCTAAATAGTCCTATTGTAACTAATAGATTCTCCATTGTACTCTTCAGAGCAACATCTAGCCCATTTCTGCTGCAAGCAACTTTAGATACTCATCTACAATAATCATCCAGTCCCTATAAGGCTGAAATCCGTCAAAATCTATATGTAAATAATTTTCAAGGGACCGTTAACAGAACAACTGGTCTATTACAAATATATCAAGAGGCCAACAAGGAATTGCATGGAGCCAATGTGCCACTACAATCATGGGCCTCTGATAATGTAACATTGAATAATCAAATCAAGAAAGATTATCCTGAATATCTTGTACTGAAATCTCAAAAAGTATTGGGTATGGGATGGAATCTCACATCAGACACCATATCAAGCAAATTAGTACCAGTAAACCATTGCATTGCTACAAGGGGGATTTGCTTTCACAGGTTAGCAAAGTATTCAACCCACTTGGTCTATTAAACCCTTTAATAATCAAATGGCATTTAATGGTGCAAGAAGCTTGGAAGACAAAAGGTAGTTGGGCTGATCCACTACCACCCCAGTTACAAAAAGCTTGGATGGAAATGGCTCAAGAACAAACTTTAGTCGAGAAAATAATCTTTCTAAGACACGTAGTAGAGGAAAATGATGAAATAACACTACTTGTATTCGCAGACTCGTCAGCCAGAGCTTTCGGAGCGTGTGCTTACTGGATGACTTCCCATCGATCATATCTAATCAACTCTAAGGCCAGAGTCGCTCCATTAAAGAAGAGGCCTTTGCCTCAGAAGGAACTCACTGTATTGCTAAATGGCACACGCTTAGCACTGCTAATAAAACAAGTCTTGTCTACTATAATCATCAAAGATGTTATTATATGGTCTGACAATGAAACTGTTTTCCAATGGGTACGGAACGACAGCTGTCTGACACCATATGTAAGAAATCGCGTCTCAGAAATTAATGAAATTTTTGGAGGCTTTCAACTGTTGCTTATACCAACAAAAGGTAATCCATCTGATCTCTTATCAAGAGGGATGATGTTTAAACAGTTTGCACAGGCAGATATTTTGCTTCATGGGCCTCATGGTTAGTGAATGTAGTTGGCCGGAACAAAAGCCACACGTCATCATGACAAACCATATCTACCACCAGGCAACATGGTCACAGATCCGTCTTGGATTGTACTCGTCACTCTTCGTTTATCAAATTAATCAAAGTAACACAAAACATGTTTCGTTACCTCATGAAAAGGGAGTATAAAATGCACCCTTCCAGAAGCACTTATCTATTGTGTAAAACAAACCCAGAGAGAAAATTATGGGAATGACAGAAAATCTTCCTCATTAGTTAAAACACAATCTCGGTTTGTGGATAGACCAAGATAATCATAATATACTGCGTTGTGGAGGAACACTGAAACATGCAGATATCAATCTAGATACTGTGCATCCATGGCTTTTACCCAAGAATCATTGGATCACAAGGTTGATTTGTGTTACACATAAACAAATCATCAAACATGGAGGAGTGTTAGACACACTCACACATCTCTGACAGCAGTACTGGACTTCTTAGGGAAGAGAGTCAATCAAATCAATCTTGAAAAATTGCATGATATGCCGAAGGTACGAATCAAGAACATGCTCGTATTCAGTGCCACCACCACTACCAAAGAAACAAGTGGTCCATCTACATCCTTTCGAGATGTCAGGAGTATATTATACAGGAGCCATATATCTAACAGGGACAGCAGATAAACGACCTATTAAGGCATACATCTGTCTGCTCACCTGTGCCACCACCAGAGCAGTACATCTAGAGGTAACACCCGATATGACTGCACAATCATTTATCCAGGCTTTCCGCAGATTTG